TGAAAATTTGAGAAAATTTGGGTTGGCTTTAACCAAACTGGTTGCCAATTCGGATTACATAACAATGAAATGTAACCTGGATAATTTCTGAAACCCTTTACTTCCTGGCTATTTCCCCTTTTGCCCCCCCACCCGAAAGAATTGCCGCTTCCAGGCCACGCTGCATTTCTCTATCTCACCCATCTTGTTCATAAGCATCGATTTTACCCACTCTTCACCGCCTGCAACCCCAACAATGGAGCTTTCTAACTCTTCATTCTCCCGAGAGAGTTGTTTTGCAAGCAACCCATTAGGAAAGTTTTTCAATTGTCAGAGGATTATCTTGTGGCGTTGCTTCTGGGCTCCGGTTTCGATACTGGTTTTAGATTTCTGGGTCTCATGCTGAAAAGATAATCCATATTTGTGCAGAAAACAACGTAACATTTGCATATTTAACTCTTGTAATTTCTATTTTCTCAAATACTGAATGGCCATTTGTCACCATCTTGGCTAAAATGGGTTTATTTTTTTGTATTTTCTTTTCAATTTTCTACGGTGTAATGAAGAAAGACTTTTGCCCCCGTTCTTTTGTTTACTTTTTGTTGGGCTCTCAGTGTTTTCTACGTTGAATGTTGCTGCTTTGGTAATGCATTTGCTTGCAAATTTGGGTGCGCAGAAAAAGTTGTCTGCTCAGGAAGTCCAATCTGTTGCTGAGGGGAAGAAATAAGCCTCTTCTTATAGATTTCTACCCAACATGGTGTTCAACTTGTATCTTAATGGCACAAATGCTGGAAATGGTATGTGAAGAACTTGATGCAGAAAACATGGTAATTAGCTTAATTTGTCTATAACCATGTGATTGGGTTGTTTCCATCCTGAGGTGTCTATCTGATTCGGGTTTCCACTCCCAAGAAGGAAATTATGCTCCCCAAAATTATATAAGCTTCCCCATAAAGAATAAAATGATGCTAACAAGAGAGGAAGGTGATTGATGGGAGTCTTTATTGATGGTATTAATGGCTACTCTGTTTTCTCTCCTTCATCTCCAATCTCTTACTAAGAAAACAAACAATGATTTTCACTCTTAATTGCCAAGCCTCTCATTCTGAATTCTTCCATTTTGTCCCTGCCAAGCACGCATAACATTCCATTAGAATATGTCTTGGTTTGTTTTCTTGTGTATAATTCAGTCTGAAGGCACTCATCCCTGTATTGAGCATCATCTTTTGCAGGTCTTGTTTATTTTCTGCGCATAAATTGTTACGCTATCAGTTTTAGTATGCTGTTATATTTTCTTTCTAGTTTATTTTAGTTGTTCTTAGGCCTAGCAATTAAAGAAAGGTCCGAGCTGAAATACCATGGAAGTCCATTTGGTTTAGCATTATTGTTTTCACTTTTGCCCATGGAAGGTGCTTGAATTTTTTATGAAACTTTCACTTTGAAACAATGAATTCCCAATTTTTTTTATTTCGAAAAAGATAACAATTAAATAGGGTCCTTAATCCAAATTTCACAATCCTAACTGACGAATTGAGAATGATAAATGCTTTCTTGAACTTTTAGTTATATTCAATAATATAATGCCAGTGGCTTCAAAACAAAATTCACTTTAGAACGCTGTAGTGGCAGCTGCACAGTAAGCATGATCACATGCCTTTTGCAAAGTTTGCTCACAAGTATTGTCCCAGTAAATCAAATATATCATCCTCAAGACTTTTTTATTTTTAACTACCAAATTCACTTTAGCAGCTGTCAATCTATTTATTTATTTTCTCAAGTCTCATTTTACAAGTTCTTCATATGACAAAATTAAAAACAGTATTAATGGAACCTGAGAAGAATTCCTCACTTATAACCTGTCTTGAATTTTCTTATCGTTGCTCACAGATGTTTTGAAGGTTTCATTAGTTTTTTTTTTCTCTCAGGACCTGGGAAGGATCATGAGTCTTGGCCGTGCATATATTTGGCATAGAAGGGGTATTCGATCTTCTGTATAGTGCATGTCATATTTTGATCTTTCAGATCTTGGGGCTGAAGCAGAGACTAACTTGGCCATTGCAGCAGGATATTTCTGAAGATAACCTCACAATTTCATTGTATATAATTTTTGGATAATTCATACGTGAAAACAATGTCATTAGTCTGTGGATGTGGTCATCATTACAAGGGTAGACTAGTTGGTTAGAAGCTTTGGTGACACTAATGAATCCCTTAATGGGGGAGTGACAAGTAAGTCAGGGTCAGGAAGGAGCTCTTTAGTCGTTTCCCCCTGGGGAGGGTGGGAGTTGTGAAAATTTTTCTTCTCCATATGAAGTTCTTTAGGTATTTGTTATTAAGTGCTTCAATAAAAATATAACATCTGAACATATTTTGCCATTTGACATCATATGATCGACTCTTTAATTTTTTTCAAAAAAACAAAAGGTTCCTCCACACTTTATCATTCTATCGAAGAATCTAATAGCAAACATTTGAAAACTGCTTTTAATTTTTTTCCTTCTAAATAATGCAACATCGCCATGAGTGACACTTCGCAACTAGTGCACAAGACACATGACTTTACTTCTGTTATACTGAAATGGGTGGTGGTGGTGGTGTTGTATCCTGAAATGGGTGTAGTAAGCTATCACACCTGAAAGTATCATCAGCTAAATTTAATGTTGTAATTCTCTCATTAGATGTTTACATTTTAAGAAATCATGACACCGACTATTCTTGTCTGATAACTATAGCCGCACTAATCCATCTTCTGGATAAATCCAAACAGGCTAATCATTATCCCTGACTCTCAATCGTTTTTACTTTTGTTTTGTTTGCATTCGGGAGGACTGTCATTTGCTTCATAATTTCACTACCTTTTTGGTAGATCAGGTGTCAAAACTATCTCTTAAACTTAGTAGGACAACATCTTTCAATCAGTTGCGTAGTTTCTATTTCTACATTACTTCCCTCGAAATGTGTCAGCCATAAGTGTTTTGAACTGGGGAGTTCGGAAGTAACCTGCCAGATTTAGTTTCTAGAGCTTGCTGTTGAGTATAGAAGCAATGAAATGATTGTTAAAGTCAATATAGATGATGGGTATGAATTTGCACGTGATATGATGGTAAGAAGCCAATTTATCCGCAAAATATATAAACCTATGTACCATCAAAAGCGATTCATCAGAGACATACTGTTTTTGGAAAAACAAATGCAAGAACTTGGTTATTATCGCATACAATAAGAATTCTTTGTCATTTCAGTTAAGCTATTTCATTCGCATCCTTTCACATGTGAAATCCTCTTGCTCACTATCTTCAAGATAAACACTCCTCATAGATTGGAAGATCATGCATTGCTTTTACTTTTACAATGGGTCGCAGGCACCAACGTTACTGTCATACACATTATTTCACATCCGTACAAAGACTGAATTTATTTTTCAATTTGCAACAGATTTAGACCCAAGGAGATCGTTTTCTGGCGAAATTTGATTGTGGCAGCTTATAAGTAACAATTGAAATTCTTCTTTTACAGGTTCAAGGCGGCAACCCTGCTTTTGGTCGGCCAAACCCCAACAAAGCTGATTGAAGGTCCTATCCGAAAACAGATAATGTGAGCATCTTTAATAAGGAGATGTGAGGGAAGTAGAAATTTTTAGGTAGATCTGATCTATTAAAGATATGTAAATCAAGTCAATTATAAATTTATGGTAAACATGTTAGCAGTAGATTCCATTAAAAATTATACTTGATATTCCTATGTGCAAGTTTGTCAAGATCTTGATTGATTGTTTCCTAGATAACCCTAATCCTGATCTTATAAAAAATCCTAATCTTTCTTTAATTTCAATAGGATCTTGATCTGAATCTCAATTTCCTTGGATTTTTTAATCCTACTGATCTTATGACAACTTTGGAATTTCAATTTTTTTTTTAATACCTTTGTCTCCTCTGTTTCTAGATTTATAACTGGAGTCAAACCATAAAGTCAGCCCTCTTCTTAATTAGTTGTAATTAGGGGAATTCAAGCAAGAAAGGAGGGCCAAACAGTCAAAACAATTAGGGTTCGGCTCTTATCATTTTTTGGTTGTTTTTTTAAATAATTTTCAAGTGTGTTTGGCGTCTGTCAAAAATAATTTAGATGGTACTCTACTTATTTGTAAGCAGTATAAACATACCTATATTTTTAATTGTTATTTTTCAATCTTCTCTTATCATTTGATCATTTTAGTAGATCAACCATGACAACCTTGCTTGTACATCTATTCATAATTGACTTGGTTTACTTATCTTGTATGGGTCAATATTAAAAATTTCACCAAAAGAGTAGAGAGAAGTGCTTCACCCCATATAATTGGCAGTCTGGATCCTCTGAAGTTACACAAGTGAATATAGAAGGCACATTTTGGAAAGAATTAGAGAAAAATAAAGCAAATGAATTTAATTGAGATCTGGATCTACTCATGTTTAGCCATATTTTCTTGTATTACTCTCTCTCCAAATACATGAATTGAGAGGATCTAGTTTAATATAATTGGGGTCCTTGGCTTGTTCTGTGTGGTGTAATGTCAGCCTCTCCAGGACAGAATTGATGTCCCAACCAATTGAACTGATGTTGGCTTCTCAGGGTTACTTGTATAGTAATTCTTCTGTAAACTCTGAGCTTAATATTTTTACAAGTCTGTCAAATACAAGGACATCTTAACACACACACACAACAAGAACAACACAAACACATAGATTCATCAAAGATGGTTATTGAGAACTTGTTATATGCTATGTGTTGTGGTGGGTGTGTTGAGAATTATATACATAAATATGCTTTATATTTTCTTATCCTGTCCACTCACCAACCGGTTCCAGTGGAGCAAAGGAAAGTGACAAGCATGGGTGCAAACTTCCTAGGAAAAGAGAATTGAAACAAAGGAAAGACAAGCAAACAGGTTTCACTCAGAAGGAAGCTTACATGTTTATTTCTTACAGGTGCAGGATTCATTTGTTGCCGGATGTGCAGGGGACATGAATGTTACTTGCTATGGCCTAGAAGGCTAGAAGTTGGGTGGGTGAATGCAATGTATACTGAACCAAGTGGTGGGAGAGAATTTAAATCCTGTCACAGGTCTCCCACTTTGGTACTTTGTACTGTAAAGCTGGTAAGTTTCGAATCTTTTTTCATCCCTGTGGGTAAAATCTTGTCAAGATATGCGTGGCTTGCGTACAGGTAACTTTGGTGTTAAAGTCGTCCAGAGGGAAATTTGAGCATTTAAATTTAAAACCTGTTTACGTGAGATGATGAAACTGCGTCAAAAACGGGACAGGCAGATGTGGATCTACCTCTAAAATAAATGAACTGTATAAGGAAAATAACAGTTCTGGAAATGTTGATTGGAAATTTTAAATCTTGATTTTTATACCTTGAGTTATTATACTGTTATATGCAATATAACTGTGATTTGTGATGCCTTCAGTTTATATATGTATATCTTTACATATATGAAAACATATTAGTATTTGACCGAGTTTGAATACATTTAAATCTTTATGCAGTACAATCTGAGAGAGAAAACTCAAAGAAATGGTATTTCTTTCTTTTTTGTTTTAATTTTATCGCCTGGTGTCCTAAGAAGCTTCCAGTCCAAACTAATCCAAGCCCGTCTAGGGCCATCATTACCAACGGTAGCTTTACAAATACCTCAAAAATGCCTTCAATGTATTTATTTAGCATAATTGCATACCTTGAGACTTGAATTTGAGATTCTAAGATAAATTGATTTAACTCTCTCAACCAATTGAATCTAACACCCCCCCCCGGGGGGTATGGTAATGTGATTCCAGATGTGTGTGTGAGGAGGGAGGTGGAGTAGTGTGTGTGATTTATTCTCTTGATATTTATCCTTTTCCCAGTGAATGCATGGTAAGCATACTATTTTTTCCCCTATTGATTAATATGCTACAGTGAAGCTTTAATGGCAGACAATCCGGATTCAAATCTGAAGTTGCATGATTAGTCAAGTAGTTCATCACAGGCCGACTTGTTTGACAGTACTCTGTAGCTGGGGGATCCGTTTTCCAGAGATCTTCTGTGCTTGGTCTTTTGGGTGAATTTGTGTTCATTTTTCAACAGGCGGCTCTGCTACTAGAAAATCTTTTTCATTATTTTACTTGAAAGAAAGAAAGAACGAAACTCTAAAGTCTCAAGTCTGATATAGAACAGCAAGCACATGATTGACGAAGTATGTGTAATTATTTGTACAGAGCCTCAGAAAGAGAGAGTGAATCCTTCATCAGATGTTCAAAGAGTCCGTAAGAAAGGCTTTACCGTTCCTGTTTTCTCCTGTGAAATAACAGATTGATCAATGCAATGTTTAGCGGCAGGGGGTCCCGTATCCTGTGCTTTAAAAAATTACCAACAAGGATTTAAAAAATTAAAAATAAAAAAATGGTCCTTTTATGTAATTTTATATATTCTTTTCTTATTTTTTTTAGTCAGGTTAAAATTAACTTTTTTAATGATAGGGGTAAAGATTATACTCTTTTTAAAAATTAAGAGAATAATTTGTAAAATAAAAAAATTTAAAATATATGGTGCTATTAAACCTAAAATTTAAAAGTAATTTGCTCATTTATTCTTTTATTAATGACTATTATGCTGATAAAATAAATAATTATTTCCTCTTTTATTTCACTGCTTTAGATATGTTTTTTTAAATAATAATTTATACAAATTTTTTATTTTTTATCTTCAAAATATGTTCTAAGAAATTACTTTATAGAATTGTATTAAGAATATAAAAATGGAAAACAAAATCAAATAAATCCTAGGTTTCCTCGACCAACTAGAATGTCATTGTTTGGGCTACAGTCATTTTCATGATTGAGCATTTCTCTAAGGGAAAATCACTTTCATGTTCTAAATAAGTAATTCAAATACAGAAAAGTCTTGTAAAATCACAAAATCAATTAGTAAAAATTTGACGTGTGATCCCTAGATTGTAGATTTAAATTCCATTATTAATATAAGAACATTATTGATAGACAATCTATAAATACCTCCTAAACCCAACTTACCTAAAATTCTTTTAAAAAAAAAGAAAAAAGAAAGGCAAAACATAACTATTGACTTAGATAGTTTTAACTTATTTTAGTATAGGTCTTTATAGTTTTTTTTGTTGCTCTAAGTCCCTCTAATTTGTTTTGTCTGCAATGTCATTCCCTTTAATTTTCATCCGTAACATTAATCTCTCTATTCTCAAATATACATAGAAAGACAATAAAATAGTACACTACTGTTAGGGTTGCACATAAGTAGGTTCAAGTCAAGCTATTTGGTGCTCTACTCAATGTGCAATTTGAGCCAACCCAAAGCCCAATTGTTGAAGCTAGGTTTAGCCTCAATTAACTTAAAAATATTTTTACAAGTATTTTTTTAAAATATTTAAAAAAGTATTCTTTGAAAAAAGTGTTATTATTATCATTTAAAATATGTTTTTTTATAAAAATAATATTAAAATCAAAAGTAATTTTTTAAAAAGTTTAAATGAACAATAATTGTCAATTATTTTTATATAACAATAAGTTAAAAACAAATTTTAAATTTTGAAAGATATTTTAAAAATTATAATGATTAAAAATATTTAAAAGATCTTAAAAAATAATATTATTCATAAAATATTTTTAAAAATATTATAAGATAAATATTGTCCATAAAATTTTTTTAAGAAATAAAAAAACTGGCACATTTCTAGTCAGGCAATGTAAGGCAAGATTTGACTCCTATCCAATGCCCAACCCAATGTGCTTGAATGTCTTGAGTGGGGTCAGGTTGACCGAATATTTAGGCATATTGCACAACCCTAACTAATATCATTAAATATGTCAATATGTGACTAATATTATTAATCTTTATGAGGATGTGGAATTATGATTTCATCTTATGGCTCTTTTGAATATATTCAAAATAGATATATTAACATTGCAACGGGACCAATAATTTATATTTTCAAAAAAAAAAAACAATACAATAAAAATATGAGGGATATGTAAAAGGATGAGTTTTACATTAAATTCAAATTTCAAACGTTACAACGTCCACTTTTCCTCCTCGCCATTATATAATGACTCATTTTAACACTAGGATTTGAAATTAGGACATTGTGGTTCAATTATCATCAATCATCAATATTGGCTAAAAATTTCAAACCAAATTGTATTAAATACATAATTTGCAATGAACATCATTGTTTTGAAATCATAAATTGCACCACTCACCTTAAATATTTGAGAAATTTTTCATTTTTAATAATACTCCAATAAACTTTATTAATAAAATTATATTATATTTTTGTTATATTTCCTTCACTAAGCTAAATTGTTGACCACATATTCTGCATCATTACATAATTGTCATATTTTTCAGTTAAATACAAAGAAGAAAAGTCATGGAAAAGAAATTCTGTAATTCTAACATTCATGAACTAAACAAAATGGAATCTTTTCAAAACTTTTTTCCTGATTTGACATTTCTTGTATAAACATTTCTCCCAAAAAAAAAAAAAAGCCAGCTAGCACCAATTCCAGCAAGGAATCCAACTAACATGAAAGCCACGACGAAGCCGATCAGAAGCAACCGATCGCGAACCTTCCACTCACGTGAATAACAGCAAAATGCGGGCGGCGACCACGTGCGCTCCGAGCTCCTCCGCTCCGTCCTTCCTACGCCGAGTAAGCGACGGCGTTCCGATTCGCCTCGGAAGGCGAGAAGGCCAAAAGCATGAGCGCTGCCATGATGCCAACAGGGAAGAAGAGCAGCACCAACGGCGGCGGAGGTAGTGGCGGCAACATCAACGGCAGAAGCACCATGGACGCAGCCAGAGCCGCTAGAACCAGAACATAACCCAAGCTGAAACACCTTACCATCCTCTTCTTGCACTAAACCTCCTCACGACCATGATCTTCCGCTCCGACTCTGCCGCCTCCGGCAATGGTAGTGATGCAAGAGATTCAGACGAAGAATTGGTAGAAACGTGAGATTCAAAGAATCGAAGAAGAGAAATCGGAATTAAGAAAACGGTATTGAAGTCTGGTGAGAGAGGGTGGGTGAGGAAGCTGTGGGCGGTCTCTTCGTTCGAGCAGTTTCGGAATGAATGCTATAGGAACAGCGAAGAAAAGGTTGGAGAGGCTTTTATAGCGTGCGACGCGCGTGGCGCGAGGAAAGCAGCTCCCTCGCGTGGGTCCCAGTATGAGCGTGTAACCCACGTGCTCTGTGAAGATTGGTTTCCTTGTTGTTTTAATTATTTATTATTTATGTTAAATATGTTTAATTTGGTCGGGAAATCTGGTTTAGTGGAGTGGTCCGGATCGGCCGAATCAAAACGCCGGATCCCAATATATTCAGTTGAAACGCAGTAATTTCTCCAGCCCCATGTTATAAAATATTTTTAGAAGAGATTAAATATCTCAAAATATTTTATCATTTAAAAATATTAAAATCTTATTAAATAAGTTTATTTTAACATTATTTTTTTTATCTATTTAATGCTAATTAAGTATAAATTTAAAATTATTAAATGAAATGTAGTTTTAAAAGTTTTCATTTTTGTTTTTAAAAAATAAAATTATTAAATATGTTTAATAAAATTTATTTATACGTGAGGTTTTATCTAAAAATATCCTGTAATTTAAGATGGAAGGAGTATTTCATTTTTTAAGACAATATTACTAGTAATTGGTAATGTTTTATAATAAAATGAATTGTATGAGTTCAAATCTTAACCCTTGTGTTGCATGTATAGTAATTAGTTAAGATATGTCTACTTACTCATTACTTTTAATATTTTTCAGGAGATATTTGTTTGCTATCGATGAAGCCTACTCTTTATGCTTACCCAAAAAAATTACTCCATATAAGTCATTTTAATTACATGTTGAAAAAAAGAGAGTTTGTTACATAAATAAAATTATCTAGAAAACTTTTTTCTATCCTCATTTCTATTAAAAACTCCCCTAAATGCTTACTGACATGTAAATAATAGTTATAATAAATTATTTAATTACAGTTTTTGTAGGGGCTTTTGTAAATTTAGCCCATAACATAAAACTAAATAAAATCATAGCTCAGCTTTTTTTAAATTTAAATAATGGCCATTTTAATATTGAGCTCAAATTTAATTGACAAAACTATCCTTTCTTAAATTATAATTGCAAATACTCAAAGACTCAAAAGTCAAAACACAAAAGTACAGGCAAACATGAAGACTCAAGTATGAAAAAAAGCATAACAGTGTAAGTGAATAGATCATAAAAATTGATAAAATTAAGCATTCTCATAATTACAAGAAAAAATGACGTTGATAATTTCTAATGATATTGTATATCAATGATATATAATAATATATTACTAATATACTATCACAAATCAAACATAAATTTATTTATTGTTGATATACAATCATATACCAATAATATATTATCGTAGATTAGGAATATGAAAAAAAATAATCATTTACCTAAAAACATATCAAGCACAGTTTGTAAATTTTTTTAAACATTTTAGTTTATAACATAGAATTAAATACATAAACTAATAAAAAAAACATGAACAATGATAGGATAATATGGCATTTTCTAACAATAATTCAAACAAAGTTTCATGATCAATGACAATAAATTATAAATTATGAACAAATGACTTATTGATTCAATGAAAATATTATTAAATTCTAGGGTGAAAATGCAAGTTTGTCGTTCTGGATTTATACTTTGAGAGTCATCACAAGCTCGTGGCCACCATGAAACATCGAAATCGAAAGAAAAGCATTGTGTGAGTATCAACATAGGCCTTCATTCCTCCACCCACCAATGACTCCCAATCTTTAGAAATGGCAGCCACCAATTTCATCCGACACTCACATCTCAAGTTTCTGGCCAGGAAGTCTCCAACCACAGCATAAGCATGACCTCCTCCTTTGGATTCAAAATTCATGCTCGTGGTTGCTAGGTTGATCCTTGTGGTTGTGGTTGTGGTTGATTGGCAAGAAAGGGAAGAAATATGATGGTTTGTATGTGCAAGGATTCAATTTAGTTAGCTGAAGGAAAAAATGATTCTGTTAATTACATGAATATATTCCTGAACCAGTTCATGCATGAATTATTGTTACGCATTTTAATATATTTATTCTATGTATAAAAGGAAAAACTCATTTTCAATTGATTTTGTAAATAAGTCATATTTTAAAATATTTGAAAACATCGTCTATAATTTTTGAGAACTATATTTTTCATATCCATTTGGCCAATTTACTCGCTTTTCTATTCCTATTGTTAATTTGTTACTATATTATTGAATTAAATTCAATTGCCATTTTTCTTATTGATTTTAAATTTCTCATTAGCTTTAATCCAGAAGTATGACTTATGCAAAATATTTCTTTTGTTATAGATATTGGAGGGCTTATAATTGAATATACAATGACACATTAAATGTGAACATTTCTTTTAAAAAAAATTTTAATTTTAATTTTAATTTTAATTCATCACACGTTGTAAGAAACTAATAACAACTACACATAGTTCAAATAGGAAAACAAATACTATTACAGCCAAAAGAAGAAGAAATAAAATTCCATCATCCTATTCAAGACTCAGGTAATAATTTATCTGGGAGTATTGGAAAAAGTTGAGAAAACTTGAATATCACCCCATAAAATCTTTGTTGTAGGATCTTTGAGTGCTTTGCTAATAATATTTTTGAATAATTTCCTCTTCATGACAACCATAGTAATGTTAGTAAATACAGGAGGACTAAAACCATCAACGTCAATAATCCATTTGTGAGTTGATCTCATTTCTTTCAAAGCAAATTGTTTCTAACATTTTTCACCTTGGGAAGCTTTATTTCTTCTTTTAGTGATGTAAGAAAATTCTCTGAAAATTGTTGTTTGCTGTTGCCATTGCTTCTATTAACATCAATGAAGAGATACCAACAGTTTCTAATACCCTACCATTTGAGGAGATTGAAAATTCCTTGACAGTGATTATCGAGGCACATGCTTTACCAAATGATCAGATATCACCAAATTAATAGTAGCAAAATACCAATTGACTTTAGCTCTGACTTCCTTAGGTGAGACTTCCTCTGCATTAAATTTTCCCCTATTTTGACATTCACATAGGGTTTGAACAACAAGAAGAACCTCCCTTAGTAATGTCATTCACTGCTGATCAAAAATGGCTTTGTTAATCCACCTGTTTAAAAAAAATATATATATATGTAATATCATAAATCTCTCTAGATCTTATAGAAATTTTCATGGAGAATCACACGGCTACGACAAAATCACAATGGAGAAATAAATGATTCATAGATTCCTCTGAATTACCACACAACAAGCTGACTTCAAAAACCTGTAAATGATGCTTCTTTAAAATATCAGAGATTGGAATAGCTTCATTAACAATCTTTCATGAGAATAGTAAAGTTATGAAAGGTGCTTCAATTTTCCAGTAATCTTTCCAATCTACTCCATGAACAAGAGCAAATCTTGGAGAGTGTTCATCCATCAGGAAAGAAAATCATTTTTTAACTGAATAAAACACCATCAAAAGGCTTCGTCCGAACAAGCATGTCCTTTTGATTAAAGAAGGAAATTAAATGATGTTCTTAAAATATCATCACTCACATTCCAAACAACGTTATCTTTGCCTGTAAGCTCGCAACAATCAGATCACTATTGCCAACACTTCGAAATTGGAATAGAACTTCCATTACCAACATGCCATTTTAAGTTGTCCACAACTAGAAATGAGACTTTAAGTGCGTCCTTCATGATCCAAAAGTAACGAGCCTTTGCTTTGTTATTGCCTTCCAAGATTGGCCTCTAGTACTTGATTTTAAGAGTTCTTCCAATTAAGGAATTATTAAGTCTCTTTTAGTCATCCTAATCATCATTAGCCTTCTTTTAACATACTATTAAATCTTAATGGTATTATTTGACCGTACATGTTCGCCTAAAATGAATCTTCGTATTTTCTTAAGTAGATTATAATTCAAATTCTAAATAAAATATATTAATATAAAATAGTTTTAAAAATTAATTATTTTATAAATTCTTAAGGTAAAAAATTATAATTTGAGTTTTAGTTATAATATTTTCGCACGGTTTAGTTTTTTATTTTAAATTTATTTAAAATCATTTACATTTCAAGAGTATTTCAAAATATATTTTTAAAAAAATTAATCATTTAATCTTTATAATTTTAACTCGTTATAACTCAGTCTTTAAAGTTTTGACTCGTATAACGTATTCTCTAAATTTTGACTTGATACAACTCAATCTTTCTAATTTTAACCATTTAAAATATTAGTCTCCATACTTTAGAACATAAAATTAGAAAGATTAAATTTTTATAATATTTATGAAATTAAAATTTTTAGTAATTTAAAATTAGTCCTAAATGTCAACATAATTTTAATTTTCAAAATTTATTTTCATAATTTATTTTCATGATATAGGACCAATATTGTAAATGGTTAAAAATATATGAATTGAGTTATAACAAGTTAAAGTTTAGGGACTGGATTACAATCAAGTGAAAACTATAATGATTGAATTATAGCAAATGATTGAATTAAAACTAAGTCAAAATTATAGAGACTAAGTGATTAATTTTTTTAATATAAAAAATGTATTGTAAGACATAAAATAATTAGTATTATTACATTTTGGTGTGACTACAATCATGTGCTCCTCCACCAACTAGAAAGAAAAAAATGATTCTAAAGATGAAATGAATCCATTCCTTTCCAAATTCAAGTACATGCATGCATTTTGTTTTCTTTCATTAAATTCTGATTATATCTCTATATAAAAAAATTTCTTCCATTAAAAAATATAAAATATTTTAAACTGGATTACTCTTCTAATAATTTAGTTAATTATCTTTAAATTGATACAACATTTTTATACTTACCCTTATTTAGTAAAGCATCTCACTTAAGGTGAATAATTAAGTGATTTATTTATTATTAATATTTTTAAAAAATGATTAATTAAATATTTAAAATTTAAAAATACCTTATATTTTTTAATATATAACCTAAAAAGATGTCATGTATTTTTTACCGAAAAGGGTACTAGTTATATCACATGATTGTTACTTTATTTTATTACATATGGTGTCAATTTATTGAAAACAATTATGTCCAAACCACTAGGCCTGCACAAAGGATTAGAAGACACCGAACTTTAGCTTAA